AACATTCTTCTCACTCCCAAGATTAATAAAGTGTTTCTGCAATTCTCCTTCTTTTTTATGATAACAGCCATAAACATACTTTATACCTCATGCGCCTGGATAGAGCTACTGAAAATTGCTCATTAATTATCATTCAGACTCCTCTCTATATCTGCCAAGTCACTACCCCTCCTCATTTAAGTCGCTCCAACAAATGCAGTTCTTCTGCAACACCTACAAGGGAGTCAATAATATTAATTATTTAATAACCTTATCTTCCTTTTTAAATTTTGTTTAAAAATCAAATCTTGCAGAACCACCAAGATAGGCATATGCATACTTCAAATGCAATCATATTGCAGTAACCAGCATCCTTCTCTACTGTTTGTCTCTCCCCGACTCATTGTCTCATGCCTAAAATTTAGGTCTGTTTGTGGCAGGGACAGTGTCTGCTATGTTTTCTTTGAAATGATTAGCATGCTTTTGGAGCTATAAAATGATACATAATAAGGAAATATTTCCTCAGTCTTCATCTAAGCTAACATTAAAAGGTAAACACCATCTTCATTTGAATTTTCTCCCCACCAGTTTTGTTCTTCTCCTGAAAAGGGCTTTGTAGATGCACAATTGATTGCCTTGTTCTTAGTGAAGTCTAGAAAATTACGTGATAACTTGTTACTTCTTTCAATGAGTTTTCCAGATGCTATTGCTCTTCTGACTCATCTCCCTTAATGACATCTCACTGGCAGTGAGTACTTTGAAGAGACCAAGTTTCTTCAAAGTACTGAAAAATCACTTGACTCAGCCCCTTTAATTCCTCTGGCACTTCTGTCAGTCACAGTTCAATGCAGAATCAGTGTGTGTGTTCATTTTTCTATTCAAAGCCACAAAGGGGAACTGGACACCTGATTCCTATTCATTCTAATGGAAAATGAGTGTCCAAATGTCGGACATACCCACAGAAAAGAAAACAAAGCTGTGCACAGGCTAGTCTACCCACGCCAGCTTGAACCCAACAAGCGCAAACATAGCATAGCAAAGACACCACAGTGCGGGCTTCAGTGTGGGTAGTACAAGGCTGGCATGGACCCTGCGTACGTTCTTTTCTCGCTAGCCTGCTCTGAAGGTTGTGCAGCACTGTCTTCACTGCTATCATTATCTGCACTAGCTGGATTCAAGCTAGCTTATGCTGGCTAGCCCATGTACAGATTTTGCTGTAGACATACCCCAAATTTAGGTCACTTCTACTGATTCTTAAAAGTGTAGCATATTCTACTTTTGTTAACTGTATTTTCATCATGTATCTCTTTAGTAAGGGAATCTTTTTCTCCACTGCACCAGGTGACAAGCATCTCTCTTCCTGTCACTGAGCCTGCCCAAGTTCACTCTAATGTGATTAAATTCATTTTAGCCAGGTGGGAGGAGGATGGAGACAGAGAGAGAGAGACTATCAGAAGTACAAGCCAGTCACCAAAAGTTAACCACATCCCTAAGTAAAGCGTTGGAGTAATATCTAGCTGGTTACAATGGCACTCACTTGGACAGATCCATGCACATTGCTTACAGTTATGGAGTTACCAGAACATAGAGGCAGTCCCTCGTATTTTCTTTCAAACCAAGCGTTAATCATTCCACACAGGACTAAATTAGTTTTCTGAGAGTACATGCTGCCTTGAGGTTCCATCTGTTCTATTGATGGTGGAGGCTATTTTATTATCTTGTCTTCCTTTGAGATGCACAGCAATTATGGATTCAGAACTATAACTATGCTAGACCCTGTTCTTGCCTCTGTTCAGCGTCCTGGTGTGTCACAAGTTGGCTTTTCATTGATGCAATCCCCATACACTGTAAGTACCTTGACTTTTATAAAATTTTAACTGCAAAGCATATCTCATTGCTGTATTTAGCGACCAGCTGGTATGTCTGTGCTACTATTGCACATGCCTTGTACCTTGAAATTATCAGTCCCTCACAGTACACCTATGGACCAAGTGCCTCGGGTAGAAATGTTCATTTGCAATGGTTTCTACAAATATAGTCTTTTTTAAAGGTGGCTGATTGATAGCACTGAAACCTGAAGTCTATGCCTCTCAGGAGATCAGACACAGCATGCACACGCATAGCAAACGGGCAAGCTCACCCAGGCCATATCACCAATGTGACTTGGTATTGCCAGGCTGTGAGAGTATTACTGCCTTCATGCCATTTCTACTGAGACTTATCTAGGATGCCAATTGGTGCCAATAGTGGTGAAGATTTCTGTGGTGTGGGCTCCTAGCCATTCAGAGAACTGGACTGAGGTCAACCACTCATTTCATGTAAGCTACCAGAGAGACACAGGACACCACAGAGCCAACTAATGACTTTTGCTTACTACCAATCTAGGCTTTTATCTGAAGTGGTTGCCTAGAGGTGAAAGTCTCTGTCCTGTTACTATTCTTGCACTATGCAAGTCCGGGTAGCAATGTCCTGCATTTCTCAAAGTGAGAGGTGTGAATGATTAGCCAAACTGGATGCTCAATTTTTCTTCAGAGTCTCAGCTTTCATTTTAATTAAAAATTAGTCTTTACCTGTTATGGTTTCAAAGAAAGGCTTCAAACTATGAAACAAGTGTAACCAACGCAGAGACATGTCATGAATTTGTAGAGCACCTGAAACAGCAGTTCTGAGGTTTAAACTGTGCCATTTATTTGAATGGATAGTAACTCATATCCCAGTGATGATCATTTACATGGCAACATTGTTAGTTTTTTCACTGCTCACCAAAGCATAAGAAAGGAGAGAAAGAATCTTTTCATGAAGAATTACGGCAGAGTCCCCTGGGAGGGGGGGGGCGTAGAAGACGAGCCTAGGAGATGTATAAATTAAGATGAGATGACCTTTAACACCACATGGCAGTGTTTCAGGCACATGATTGGTTTCATTTATTTTTTTTTTAAAAGGGGGTCTCAGCTGTCAAAAGTTTGGAAATAGAAGTTTAAACTATTTATCAGCAGCTTTCAAACCGGTGTCAGGGGAAAATGTGGTCCAATGAATACTCATCAACTGCCAGCTACGACACATTCAATGCAACAAAATGAAGGATTTGTGAACAGCTGAAGAAAGATTTTATCACTCATATACACATGATGACCCTGTAATTTCTGTTTCCACTGCACCTGTGTAGGATGGTGGGAAGGGTTTACCTTTTCTTATCATTTTTCATATGCTACATATGGTAGAGTGCCCAGAAAACACACTAAATTAAGAATGTTCTCTATCTTAAGACCCCCAAATCTGGCACCTCCAAGACTTTCCTGTAATTTTGGCTTTACAGAACTTAAACACCTGGTTCAGGATAAGGATAAGCATCACAAATTTTCTGGGGACTAATACTGAAAATTCTTTCATTCTTATTTACGTGTAATTTTCTAGCTGACTTTCAACTTGGCTTTGTTTAGTGCATAAGCTTGAACTGAGTCCAAGCATCAAAATATCTCTTACATTGGTATCTGCTGTTCAGGAAAACAACAATATTGGAACGTTGGAATTCCCATCTTTGTATGGAAGACAGTAGGGCTGTATTTTTGTTCAGCTCTTAGATACTATGATGATGGGCATGTTAGACCTGTTGTCATGCAAGAAAAACTGAAAATGATAAAGAGCAATTTATTCATTTTCTGGTAACTTTATTTGAATAAGGTGTATTGCCTGTGATACACACAACAGAAAGATATCTATTAACAGTGTCAAAAGTTCCCTCACTGACTTGCTCAAAACTAACCTGTCTCTATATCACTGTTGTATACCTTGATGTTGTCAAATTCAGTGATAGATGTATTGTTTAAAGCAACTAAATTACTTTGTTTTTCTAAAGCCCACATGGAAATAGAAGTCCCTTACAACATCCAGGAAGGAGAAAATCATATATTAGACTCAGTTATGGACACTGGGCACTGAAATCACAAAATGCATGAATGAAAACTACTACATTCCCACTGTGGGTTTTCTAAGGTATCCAGTTGACTGAAAAAAAATATCTATTTCAAAAAGGAACTAAGATATTCGTATCTCCAAGCATTCACAGCCTCATGCAGAAGATAAATAAAAAAATATATGTGGAAAACTAAAGCTCTGAGTTTAAATCAGCCCCATCTTTACCCCGATCCCTAGATTTTTAGACCTATTTGGACATTTTCCTTCAACCTGTCACTCAATCAATGAAACAGATACTCAGTTTTTAACCACTAGTTTTTTGTGAATTCAGTATTATTCTATGGCTGATGTGTAGCCAGGTAATACCTAAGCTTGTGTTCTCAGTGCTCCCCTCTTTCCCGCATGCAATGTACTTCAAGCCATACTAAAAAGGGGAAGATGAACACAGAAAATATACTTAACGTTAGTGTGTTTGAAAATCTCATCAATGAGAATTTTTTCTCAAGTAGATAACTGTAAATGAAACTTTTAACTCAGACTCGTCTGCAAGGAGCATTTTAAAATATGTTATCAAAAGAATCATCTGAAGTAATGGATTAAAGGGAATTTTAGGCTCTGCCTATCCAAAATGTTCACCTAATTAATGACACCACCTCTCAAAAGATGAAAGAATCTGCTCTCCCACTCCCCCACCCCCCATCTCTTTCCCATTTTAATTTAATACAGCTTGAATACATATATCTGGCAGCTGGAAAGAGGTCACCAATTTGTTTAGCAGCTTTTCAGATGTTATTTTCAAGATATAGGCCTGAGCTTCAAAGTCTGGATCCAGAACCAAAATCTTCTGAAGTTTAGGGGATGTTTAATAATATGTAGTTTTAGCTCAAGACCCCCAACTAATTTTCACGCTTTTGTCTTCCTTCTTTCAGAGCCCATTCTGGCCAATTTATCAAAGTGCCCAGCGCTGTCAACCCCCACATTAAAGGTAATATGTTAGGGTGCTGGGAATCTTGCAGGAAGTGCACAGCACCTCAGAGGATTTATCCCTCAGTCCACACCAGATGTATCAAAAACCAAGAGCTGAATCAGCTTGAAAGTGCTGTTACCTGCTTAGTAAATTCATTGAAGGTCATAATGGGTCCATTGTGGAACACAGGATAGTAGAACATGTAGGCCAGCATCCAAAAGAATGAGTAGTACCTCTTCTGGGTAGAGCCATGCCAGCAGTATTCAAGGCTGAAACTAGTGTAGTAGAGGCAGTGAACAGTCAGGGTGAAGAGCAGCAAGTAGTACTCATTTTCAGTGTCGTACCACCCTCTCTGCAAAACAAAACAGAGAATGGTGCGATAGCTACGTTGATAACATGATACGATTTTGATATCAAACAATCAACATTCTTACTGGCACTCCACTAGTCCCTAGGCCATCATCAATAAAGGGCAGTTAATATAGACTCTCTCAAACTATGGCGTGCGCCTCCCTGGGGAGGCACCAGCACATAGTGGGGCAGCACTATTTACACTTATTTCCTTGGCATATCAGGGTTTCAGGCTGAGCGAAAGCTGAGACTGGAGCTGCTAGACGATACTGCTGGTAGCCTCAGTAGTTATGACAAGACTGCAGTTCCGGCCGCCCCAACAGAGGCCGCTACAGGGCTTGCTGGCTCCTGCAGACAGAGGCTGCTCCCTGCCTGTCTAGAGCGAGAATGCTGCAGCCCACATGGGCCAGTGGAGTAGCGGGAAGGTGGCTCAGTGCCAGCAGCTGCCTGCTCCTTTCGTTCTCCTGCACTGGGGAAGGGGAGACACAAAGGTGAGCTATGTATAGAGGCCAAGGGCAGGAAATTCTCAATGTAATTAACAGACTTTGTGAATGCCCACATGTCAGTGAACTGTGTTTGGACTGTAACATCTATATTGTAGTGGATTTGATAGCCCTCCACCCCATCTCCCCATTTGATAAGATCCTGTCCTACTGCACCATGCATTGGAACCAAAGAGAAATGAGTTTGTCAGTCCTAATAAAAGTGTCTTTTGGAGAGAGGATAAATCTATTCACAAGCGAAGAACAGTTTCTTCAAATCCATAAGCCCGTGAAAGGAAGCAGAGGATGAAGATAGCAAAACTGAGTCTACGCCAGTCAGTTAAAGTATGGTTAGCAACCATTGTTTTGGCACAAATCCAACTGTTAGAGCAATAGGCTTCATTTTCCAATTCAGAAACCCACAGTCATTAAAGAGAAACTGCCAAGCTTGACTAAGCAACTCTGGGATATGAAACAAAAATCTGCATTTTGAATTAGAGCGAATACATCTCTCTTGAAGTAGAGAGCATTAGTGAAGCACTTGTTAATCATATATTACGCTCCATCAAAATAACCTTTATACATTAAGGCATATAATTTCATTTTGATGCACAGGGCTTTATGCACATAACACCAATCAGCATGACAAGGGATAACCCCCATTATTTCCCATGAATAATGCCATATTTCAAGAAGCAGCAGACATGCTGAATCTAATTTTGAGCTAGACCTCAAATCCAAAAACTCCAACAACTGGAGGTGTGGAAGGCGGGGGTTCACCTTTAATTTTTGGGGCGGTTTTTTTGTTTGTTTTTTTACACACATTGCAAAAAAATTTGTAGGCTTCTTACACAAAGGGTTACGTAGGTAATATACGTAATCATCCTCCTGATGGATGTGATGCAAACATATTCGGATCTGGGTGCCTCAGTATCAGAAATATGTTGACAAATTTGAGGGATTCAAAAAAGAGCAACAGAAATGATGAAGAGTCTCGAGGAACTAGCTCATGAATAAAAACCGAATACAGGCAAAACCAATTAAAGTATTCAAAGGGTGTAAACACCAGATAGAGAGGAATGTCTAGGGTTTGTGCAAGGGATCGAACTAGGAGCAACAGATTAAAAGGAAGTCTAAATATCTGGAAGAATTTCAGTTATAGCCATTAGACTGTGGAAGAGGGAGTGGCAGAAAAATCCATATCATGAGGTATACTATAGGGTACCGCAGTATCAGTGTGGGTACCTGCAAGGGACTATTTCTTCAACAATACCAAAAGGATGTGTACTAGTGTGCTTTAGGGTGTCAAAAAAGACCATGTTGATGCCTTGAATTACCATTAGCAGGGACCTGGTGGGAAGATTTCTGTCTCCTTTTCTTAGAGGGTGCCCGAGAAGGTGGCCACTTTTTATGTTCCCCAGAGGAATGATAGTGTGTGCTACCCTTGTCAGATAAGATTTCAGAGAAGGAGCCTCTGTGGAAGAAGTGGAAGAGGCACAAAACCAAGCAGTTGTAGGTGCCAGTGCATTTTTTGAAGACGACGGCTCCGAAGTCCAGAATGCCCAAATCTGAGGCCAGTCTCACATATTTATCTAATGGGAACAGCTTCAAGCGAGCTTCTCTCGCTTATTTGAAAACTAAATAGAGCATTTGGACCCTCACCTAAACAAAACAAACTTTTAGAATGGCTATCATTAAGGAGAATGGCCATGTGGCACGAAGAGCAATATTTGAAACAAGGAGATTTCTGTTCAGCCACAGACATAAAAAATTATTTTAAAAGTTACACAGATGAAACCTAACTGTAAACAATACTTAAAACCTATGAAAAGCTAACCCTAGTACTACTGCTATCAACTAACCATATCCAGGAGTTACAAGAAAAACTAGGTAAACTAGGCTGCGGAATAAGGACACTGGTAATTCCTTCATCTCTCAGCCAAGGAAGGAACAGAGGAAGTTGGCCCTACTCTGTCCTTTCATGCCCTCAGGAGAGGGGCACAGCCATCGGTCAACACTGCTGCCCAAAAGACTACGATCTCTGCTACATGGGGCAATGCACATCAAGAGTTGTGTACATATAAACAATCACTCTACTATAAATGTTAACTTTTTATGTCAACTACTGGTGCAATGTAGGCACAGAAGCAGGTCTTGGGCCCTTTTCAGGTGTGGGATGGCATCTGAAAGGGAAAGCATGATCAGAAAAAATTCCCTCTTGACTCCCTGAAAAGGCACCTGGCTCCTTCCAAACACGAAAATGAATAATACCTCTTTAATTTATTAAATTCCATATAGTCATTCAACTTTTGCTCAAGTCTTACTATTTGAGTCTACTATCTCAACTAGAATCCCATTCCACCTATTCACCACTCTCTCTGCAAAAGGTCCCCAATTCTTTTTTAAAAAAAGAAAAGGAGTACTTGTGGCACCTTAGAGACTAACCAATTTATTAGAGCATGAGCTTTCGTGAGCCACAGCTCACTTCATCAGATGTGTACCGTGGAAACTGCAGCAGACTTTATATACACACAGAGAATATGAAACAATACCTCCTCCCACCCCACTGTCCTGCTGGTAATAGCTTATCTAAAGTGATCAGCAGGTGGGCCATTTCCAGCACAAATCCAGGTTTTCTCACCCTCCACCCCCCCACACAAATTCACTCTCCTGCTGGTGCTAGCCCATCCAAAGTGACAACTCTTTACATAATCAAGTCGGGCTATTTCCTGCATAGATCCAGGTTTTCTCACTTCCCCCCCACCCCCATGCACACACAAACTCACTCTCCTGCTGGTAATAGCTCATCTAAACTGACCACTCTCCAAGTTTAAATCCAAGTTAAACCAGAACATCTGGGGGGGGGGGGGGTAGGAAAAAACAAGAGGAAACAGGCTAATATGTTCCCTCCTGCACCTAATTGTAAGACCTTTAGTTCTGGCTTGTTCACCAACCTCAAAAAGGCTATTCAGTCTTGATTTTATAACAATCCTTGACTAGTTTAAGTACGTCACTTATGTTGCCTTTTAACGTTCTCTCAGGACTAAATAATCCAGATGCTCCTCATCTGGAAGAAAAACAGGAGTACTTGTGGCACCTTAGAGACTAAAAATGTATTAGCGCATAAGCTTTCTTGGGCTACAGCCCACTTCATCAGATGCATTGAATGGAACATATAGTAAGAAGATATATATACACACATACAGAGAAGGTGGAATCTGCCATACAAACTGTAAGAGGCTAATTAATTAAGATGAGCTATTATCAGCAGGAGGAAAAAAACTTTTGTAGTGATGATCAAGATGGCCCATTTAGACAGTTGACAAGAAGGTGTGAGGATACTTAACATGTGGAAATAGAACCTCATATGTAAGACCACTCATTTCATTCATCAATTCAGCTGCTCTTTAGAATCCTTTGGGAGGAAAGGCATCATAAAAAGGTAATTTGAAGACAATGATGACAATAATAAAAGCAAGCAAAGCTGTAGATAAATGGTTTTGAAATCCACAGACAGCAGTTTTAATTAAAACATAGCCAGGGCTTAAAGAAAGAGGGTAAATCAGATTAGTTTGAACATACAGTACAGTTTATTGCATTCAGTGATTTCATCTATTGTTTAAAAAAGAACAAGGAAGCTGCAATGGAGAGCAAGGCTCTTCTATCTGCCTCATAGTTCTCCTCTCAGTTTACACCAACATGAAACTCTGTAGAACAACCTTGTTATGCATCTAGTTATCTTTTAGTACTCAGGGCCACAACACACCATGACAATACATATGAGAGACAGCCCACTAGAGGGAGTTCTCAGCAAGGTTAACATTTGCAAATGAGATGCTACAGTCAAAGACTGTACCAACACCTACTGCACCTTAGCACCTAGAAAGTTCTTTTGAGCCCATCTCTGCCTAGGCAAAACTAAAAGTGATTTGGCTGATAAGGGTTTTGCAATAAAATGTTGTCCAAGATCATGATAAATAAATACCATACTTTGATCACGCTAAAAAATTACCTTTGCTTCTTCCACAGCTGGTACGCGCAAAGTTGATAACAAAAGTAGTGAGCACAGCCAAGTCAGGACTGCTGTCTGAAACTGAGCCACGGAAAATGAAATGGCTGTATGTAGCAAAATCACTGCCAAGCCATTGATTCCTAATAGAAACCAGCAGGCCACCATCCCGTATGTCATTAGACACCAGGGTTTGTACTGGAACAAAAGAAGAGATTTAAAATAATAGAAGTAAAATATTTAAAATAATAGAATATTATTTTTAAATAATAGAAGTAAAAATTATTAAACAGCCCCCCTAAAACATATTTACCTAAACAAACCTGTATGTTTTTAATAAATGGCAAAAATAAATAGACACAAAATACCAATCTGAGAATAGTACTAATGCCTAATGATCTAAATATCAGGTGTGAAATACAAGGACTCCCTGGAACCAGAGGTTTAAATTCTGATAGGATCAATTAACCTTTTTTTTCCTCTTCAAGTTAGAGACTCTGAGCTCCACACAGTTTTTTCTGTGAGGGCCCTTTAGATGAGACGTTAACACTGAAGCATTCGCTGCTCTGTATGGACATTAAAGATCATTTGATGCTATTTATATGCTTAGAGGAATTACCCCAGTGTCCCTGCCCACGTTTCTTTCCCCTCATTGTTTTACAGTTTGCTATGTGCGGGTGAGCTGTACTACTGCCACTTCCCACCTAACAGGTTGATTCTTGTATAAAACTCTTTGCCTCCACCATTTGCAGCTATCAAAAATACTCAAAGAAGAGAGTTGGACACAACTCCTTCAGGAGCCAATCAGTGTTGCTCTGTGCATCAGTCATGGGACAGCTAGAGAAAAGCAAGAGTTGCTTTCTCCTCCACCAAGGACTAAGGCAGGGGTGCTGGAACTAGGGGTGCAACAGCACCCCCTGACTTGAAGTAGTTTCCATAATATACAGAGTTTACAGTTTTGTTCAATGGCTTTCACCACCCCCACTATAAAAACTGTTCCAACACCATTATCAGGCCTGCCAGCCCAGGAAACTAGGGAACCAAACTTGGATCTGTCCAAACACAGACCACTAGGCCCAGTGTTTCCCTCCCAGAGAAAATCCAACAGAAGGAGCAGGCTTTTCTTGAAGCTCTGCATGTTCTCACAGATTTGCCCCTTATCCTCCCCTTTAACAGGAGGGATGTGTGTCCTTATGGAATGGGGAGGGCACATGACTAGCAAGCCTCACAGATTCCCTGCTGAGCCTCACAGCTAAATGAAGAGCAATCAGCACCGGCAGCTGACCACATTCAAGACCTTCTTCATAAGCCTCATCCTGGCAGGACCGGCACACTGACACTCACCTCATAAGGTTCCCACACGGAACACAAGGTCAGCAAGTGATCAAACTTTTGAGATAGCGCAGCACCTCGATTGTGGAATTTGCTCCCCCTGGATTTCTACTTCAGCCCTGTCCTCACTGCTTTAAAACTGAAAATCTCTCTGAAAAGCAGTGTTAATGTTTAATTACATTCAGACCAGTCTCCCCTCCACACCCCCTTTTCATTGTTAATGACACCAAATATTGTTTGCTTAATTATTTCAATAGGATTGTATTTTAACTTATTTGTGAACCACCAGGAGCACTTCAGTGAGGGCACTTTCTAATTACAATTATTATATGCCATATTGTGCCCTATCTAGACTTTTCTGTAAGCAGATGGCTAGGCAGATACACATAAATGTGTGTGCATTTAAATCTGATCAGTGTGTTTATAACAAATGCAAAACACTGTATTAGTGTGTTAGGATTATGAATTTAAATATGCAGGAAATGTCTCAAATAGGCAGACCAGGAAACCTACAATAAGAAACTTTTGGTTTTGCTAAAATTTGATCAGCTTCATAGGTTCTAAGACAATTTGCACATGCACTCTCACAGTGCATTGCTGCATGGGTTTATATTAAAACACATCAGTATAGCACCAATGCTAAGCTCTTCAGGGGAAGGTTCATGTCCACCTATAAACATACACATACAGCACCTAGCACAACACAGCTCCCATCCTGACTGGGGTCTCTCCATGTTACCATAATACAAATAATAATCATAATAATAAAGTCTTATTTGTTCATATTATTTGCCTTAAAATTTTGAAAAAATTAAGTTTGCCTGTATTAATGGCAATAAAAATATATTTTAAAAAAGAAATGGCAGTTTAAAATCCTGCAACATAACGTAGGAGTTTTATGGATTTTTCTGGGGTCTCTCAAGAGGGCTCCAGGGTTTCTAAGGTAAGGACAGTAGTATGTGTAGTAAACATCTGAACTGAGAACATTATCCTGACATGTTCAACATGCATCAGCAGTTCCTTGAAGCTCTTGAAGTTGCTTGTCTGGATGTCTGTGTCTCTCTCTGCCTTTCTTTAAGCAGTGTTTGAGGCTGAAAATAACATCAACAAGATGCTAAGAAGAAACTACTGAAGTGATTCCAACTGTGAAAAGAACCCTCTTGCTGCTTTTTACGTAATTTGACATGATTTGAAATCTAAACAATGCACATAAGCTTATGTAATTACCCATTATAAATCTGAACTCAAAAAATGGAGAGAGAGTCGCACTGAGAATCACTTTAACACAACAGTAGCTGAGACCCCTCCACAAAATTGGGAAAAAGGTTTTTTCTAGTGCATCGAAACTTTGGCTCCTCTATGAGCATTCAACTCAAATACTGATATGGAGCTTCCTATTAGTGTGACTGTTTAGTACAATTGTTAGATTCTCTTTTCTCTAGTTTTCCATATTTTAAATAATTTCTTCCTGCAAAGCATTACAAGAAAACTGAAATCCATGTCTCTAGGACAGGACATGACAATTAAAGAATCACATGACACAGAAGACCAGTGAACTATTCACCGCAAGACATGGGGCTAATAATTAGAAGTGAACAAATGTGACTGTAAATTAGTTACTCAAATATTCCTTGATTATAATTAAGTTTATGGCTTCTACATTATTAGCATCCATCATATTTACACAAAAAGTTAGCAAATAAATTCCATCGTAGATATTTACAAGGTTAGATCCTCTATCTCTTGTGGACAAACTGAAGAAGGGACTAAAACTGGCATATGTTTTCAAAATTATTCCTTCTAATGGGAACACAAGGCTTTCCAACCCCATGAATCTGCAGGATCCATGACTAAGATACCCCACACCCCGAAGATCTTTTGTAACACCTTGCTCTGGTTCCCAAAACCCTAGAAGAAAAGTCCCTGCAGAGCACCTGCACAGTGGTATGTATATGAATAAGCACAGTATATCTGCAGTTACACTAGCTTGGATAAAATTACCAGGGCCATCATTCTGAATGCTTAAGGGCAGAAACTGATCCTCAGCTGGAGACAAAACATCATTTCCCCTTTACATTATTACACAATTAAGTACAGTGAAGATATTCTTAAATATTTGACACGTTGCACTCTCAGAGACAAGATGAATCAATGGTCTATTCAACTGTGATGATTCCTGTGAAGAACATTTTCTTATTATGATTACCACTACTACACTTCTTGCCCTTCACCTGCCATTTTCAAAAGACTAGTTCATTACATTCACCTTCTTTTTCTTACATCCACAGCATCAATACTTTTAAGTTTACTCTCAATTTACAGAAGATCACCCAAGTTCTAAGAAAAAAGCTAGCACAAAGAAATAAAAAAAGTGATGCAAGATCACAGGCAGTATCATGACAAGATCTCCGCAGGGAATCCCTAGTGTTCAAATACAGATTCCATGGACCATAACTGCTGGCAGTCACATCTCCATCCTATCTGAGACAATCTCTTTAGGGACTCAAAGGAGCCTTATAAAACCTCTCAACTGAAACTGCTGAAATACCTGGTGTTACACACTCTGCACTGCCCCCAAAGCACAAATGTTTGGCATTCTATAAAGAAAGATAACAGTGAAAGAAATCAGGTTTTGTCTTTATTAAAAAAACCATCTGCATAATGAAGCAGATCAATAAAAGCAGAACAATAGGGTTATTAAATTATTCTTTTCTGAGATACAACATGATTATGATTCAACTTCAGATTTAAAGTTCCATGCAATTTCATCTCTGATTAATGCTAAGGAACTATAAGCTGGTCCCCTTCCTCTCTCTGTAAACCAAGAATATGATTTATTAAAGGACACCCCATTTTTACATACTAGATTGCTGAAATTATTATAGGCAGGGCTGGTAACACCACCTATTAAAGTTACGTGACACTTCCCATTATTTGATCCTCGTTTTCAGTTACTTATATTTTTGCCAAATACTAACTGCGTGGGCTGAAATTTTTGATTCTGGACATCAGTCTCAGGCTGAAATTTTTGGGAAATTTCAGCAAAAATAATTCAGCCATATTCAAGAACAAGGAAAGATTTAGTGATGGAGGATTGAATTAATTTGATGACAGGGACACTGATGGAGAGGAATTGAGCTAAGCTGCTATTGAGGGAGTTGAAAGTGATTGATGGCAGCAAGAAGGGCAGCATTTGTTTTCATGGCAGAGTAAAATGATAATATGCAGAGATAACTTGGGTGGTGTTAGCATAGAGAACAGGAAGAGCTGGTAGATGGACTGATTTGATACAGAGGATAGAAGCGATTGGGAAAGATGGTAAGAGTTTGTGATGGAAGGTATAGAACACTTCCCAAAATGGAAACGTGCCTGAGTGTTTGTTACTTCCTTATTTATCATCTCCTTTATGAAATTATGGAGGCGGGGAGTGAACAAATCCATTATATCGGCTCCAAACTTTGGCAGTCCTCAAGTCATTTCTTGCACTGCCACTGAAAATTAATAGGACCAGCACAACCACTGAGAAGTTTCATACAGCCACTATTCCCCCGCCCCACCTTAAATCAACCTACCACAAAAAAGTTTCCTTCTTTTCCCCCTCATTTGTGGATTTTCCCTCCAAAATTTCAATGATCCAGAACAGGTAATATTCAGTCCTGCAAAAGTGCCTGAAATGGCATTCCTATAGGATAGGAACAAGAGTTTCAAAGCAGCTTTCTAATGGTTCTATATAGCCATAGAAGGTCCCAGATATTAGACATTAAAATTGCTACATTTTTATATACAGCTTAGTCACTTTATAATCCTCCCTGTCCTCTGAGTTCTGAAAATGTGGGTTTATGGTACTAAGGGGGGCTGTCTTTGCAGACTGAGGGAGATGAAAAATTTTCCCAGTTGAGCTTGGCCAGAAAACATAATTTGTATCCTCCAAGAAAGTCCAATATTTGGTTTTGTCCTGATTCAGGACCAAACAAGAAAAAAAAAATACAATTTTTGTAAAATGAAATATTCACATGCAAGCGTTGAAATGAAATGTTTTGACACTGTGAAATTAAATATCTAAATGAAATGTCAATTGGAACAGACATTCTGAATTGACATTTCACTTTAAAAAGGACATTTTAAGTTGAAATATCAATTTGAAATTTACTGTTTCTATTTGAATCAACTCCTCAAATAGAAATGGTTCAGTTAAAATAAGCATTTAAAAACAAAGCAAAATGTTTGGATTAAATGATGCTTTGGAAAAAATTAAAGAATTCATTAAAATAATTCCAATATTTTCCAGTGTAAAATTTCAGTTTCAACAACTACATTTTCCAATGGAAAAAACCGACCTCGGACATCTCTTCTCCACAGCACATATGGGGGAACAGAGTTACACTGTACTAGGTCTGTGGTATAATTGCCCATCCATGCAGAGACATGCTGCTTTGGCTATCATGTACCTGCACAACGTGCATCAGATTTGGTCCCAAATATCCTGCATATCCAAGTCCTCATTATCCAACATCACTTTTGAGTATTCTCACAGGAAAGTATTAAGTTCCTAACGATAGGCCCAGTTCTCTCAACCTTACTCACAATGAGGTGTGCTTTATTTATGTTGATTTAAATGGGACTGCTTCCTCATTTGAGTAAAGGTGGCAGAACTGGGCCATAAATAATTATATCTCCTAGATACAACTTGTCAGAATTTTTCATTCTTCAGAATATACTTTTCAACAATTTGTAATATAAGTGTTCTGTTTTCCAGGTCTCACAGCGAACTGAAAAAATATAAGGTGCACTCCTGCAAAACACATGCATTCATACCTTTTCCATAAAGAGCCTTGACATCTGAGATACCATTAGATGGCCAAGCAGAAGCCATATTATACGTTCCTTTCCCCATTCCATCCAGAAGCTCCACTCAAAGTCTGTGGGATCCTAGAATACATAGTGAATTGACTGATACATGTTTCAAAACTGGGTGCGGTGGGTGAGTGTACTGATGAAACAGAGGGAAAGGTTTGAATAGAACACAAAGGTTTATGATCCAATACCACAGAGTGTCGTCTGAAGGGAATCTACACATATTGTTAAAGTAGCAGGGTCAGATTTTCTGAGGTGATGAGCATCCATAATTCCAAATTATTTCAATTTGTTTAAAATTTGTGGAACCATTTCTATTAGTCTTATATCTTGTAAAACCAAAATTTGGGGCCAAATTTGATTTGACGGTGACCCTCCTTTAATTTTCCCACCAAAGCATCAAACATTTTCAAACTATAAAATATACGCACAAGCACATAAATACATGTATCATCTCAGCACTGAAAAATGTAGATACAAGTGAGGAAGCACAGACTCAGCACAGAATAAGATTCCTGATTTTAAGGGCTCTCTCTCTCTATTCATCAGTATTTACTGAATACCTACGTGGTATGTTCACAGTAATGAGATTTCTCCAGGAGGCTTGTCAGAAACAATATGACAGTCCTCCACACATGGATTATCAAATGGAATTTTCAAACTACAGTAGTACGTGGCTGTTTACCAGTATCTGAACACAAGAGGACAATAGTGTGGATTTCAACTATGCAGCAAATAATTTGCTTTAAACTAGATTATGTTACTATCCAAACCTTAGTGCAACTGTATACTTTGCAGCTTTGGCGCCATGCCCAGTGCACCAGTCAGCAGAATTGAGCTAGCATGAGGAAAGAAGTAATCTGCATGGTAAAAAGGAGGTGCAGATGACTTTCCCGCACGGAGCAAGGAAGAAAACCACAGAAGGAATTATAATCGAGTCTGGACTGTTCCTGGGGCAGAATAGCTATGCACCTCCCTTACTCATGACAAAACAAAGTTTCAAACTAACTCAGAGCAACACATTAGCTTTAGCTTAATTCAGTTTAATTACTCTGATGATCTTCCAATATTTGAATAATTTTTAATTTTATAAAATGCCCGATAATGGTTTTTACATGCAATTTTGGCTCCTAGCCTCCCACCCAGATTTGATCACAACCAACACTTTTTTGAAACACAACCTGTTTTCCTAAGTCCTGAGACATGCTCATACTACTGATCATAGTGTTTCTTGCTGAATTCACCAGCTTCAGTGGGACTACTCAGGGTAGTAAGCATTATATGCTCATGCTAAGTGAAGAAAGAGAATTTCATAAGGCAGCATAAAGAACAAGCTACACAAGCTTCTACCCAGACCAAGTACATACAAAATTTTCAATAAACTGAAAGTTAATATGATTCTAAATAAGAAACTGCAAAACTTCCACTAGAAGGCTCATCAACCACAAAATACTGCAGCAGATCATAGTGACTGTTTTCAGGGACACTCCTGGAATGGCAATACAAATCACACCAGGATAAACTCCGGATCAATTTCCTGAAGCAAAATCCCACTCAAGCTTTTAGCTTCAAAAAAATATTACATAGCTCCTTCCCCACCCTGTGATTTGGTATCCCTGATATTCCAGTCTCTCCTCCAACTTTTCCACCATTCTCAATCATAGAACACAAGCCAGTCAACTAGAGCCAATTCTAATACTTCAGGATGGTGGTGAAGCACTGGAATGGGTTACCTAGGGAGGTGGTGGAATCTCCTTCCTTAGAGGTTTTAAAGATCAGGCTTGACAAAGCCCTGGCTGGGATGATTTAGTGGGGGACTGGTCCTGCTTTAAGCAGGAGGTTGGACTAGAAATCCTGAGGTCCCTTTCAACCCTGATATTCTATGCTTCTATAATTCTATGATTAACTTTTCAAGGAAGACAGGCTCATTCTTTTTCTACCTGAATGTTTTGAATTAGCTATTTGAGACCCAGTCCTGCAAGCCATCCCTTTAATTCAGTCTGAAGCAAATAGGAGGTCCAGGCTTGAATGGGCCCGTAAAACTGGAGTACTGCCAGAGACGCCATGGAAACCTGCTAGTATTCCAGAACCACACCCTAGTGAGGCTCCTATTTTGAATGACCTGCCCTCAGTGTAGGGCTCTCTGTTCTGCCACATTTTGTATCATTATCAGCTTTTGAAGAACATATGTGTAAAAGCCACTCTGAATATCACATCTCCCCCCACCTGTCCAGACCACACATATTTAAAAGACTAAGCCATTTCAACAATGGGAAAAAACAGCCTACATCAGGGGTTCTCAGACTTTTTCTTTCTGAGGCCTCCTACAACATGCTATAAAAACTCTAGGGCCCAGCAGGGAGAGGGGAGCGAGCGCTCAGGCATAGGTGTAGTTTGACTTCTATTTTGGGTGGGCAGGGGCCAGCGGGGCTCAAGCCAGCTCCACACAGCGGGGTCTAGGGAAGAAGCGCCACCTCCACCCCCGACTCACCTCAGTAGGCCACCCAGCTTGTCTGGGTTGTGAGGGAGGCAACCAAACATTATAACTCAAAGGTGGGGGGCTCAGCTCAAAAAGTTTGAAACTTTGAAACCTGCACCACCTATTCCCTCCTCAGGGAGGACTTCAGAGAGGCTAATATAGATGGGGGAGCCTGTCATGGGGTCAGCCTCCAGCAGCAGAACAGGCATGCCTCCCTCTGGTTCCCCTCCTTCAGAGTCCGCAGTAACTCGACACAAGCTTCCTTGCCTCAACAACACCCCTCCTGGGTTCCAGTTTATTAGAAAAACCAGTCTGAATGGTCCAGGACAGAAGTCCCAAAACATAGTCCATTTATCACCCCAACGCATGCAGCCCTTAAAATCCCAAGATATCTAGTCCCTCAATGCCTCTCATGCTACACTCCATCTTCTGTCTCACCTGGGCTCTCTGGTGGTCCTCTCTAGTCCTTCTTCCAGCCCTTCCAGCTGGAATGCAACCCTGCTCTTCTCAGCAGGAACCCCCACAGCCTCACTGCTGGGAGCTCATCCTCTCCAGGGGAGCATCCCTCACTTCCTCTGGTCTTTTAACCTTTTTGCTCCAGAGAAGCCAAGAGGTAGGCCCTTCCACTGTTCCCCTGACTCCAGCCTCTCTGTCCTTCATCAGCTTCAGCTTCAATGTCAGCAGGCAACTCCCTCTGCTGCTGTCTGGCCTTCAGCCCTGGCTCTCAGACATGGGAAGGTCAGCCAGCAAACCCCTCTGTTGCTGTTCTACCTACAGCCTTCCTCCAGGAACCACCTACAGCTTCCTTAAGAGACCTCCTACAGTCTCCTCGTCTCAGGCAGCTCTCACCTGCTCTATGGCCCAGGTGCCATTTTTTAAGGGCAAGTGGGGTCAGTGGACCAGTCACTATTAAGAGACCCACTGTCACCCTCTGACAGAGCCAAGCAATGTTTGAAAGAGCTTGTTTTGCAGATAGTCTTATTTCAGCTTTAGGTTCATTTTCCAGGGAACACCCATTAAACACAAGATTCTCTGAAGAAATTTATTTCAACACCCAGCGCAATCCTTTCTGCTAGTCCAGTGGTTTTCAACCTTTTTTCAATTGCGGACCATTAAAAAATTTCAAATGGAGGTGCAGACCCCTTTGGAAATCTTAGACATAGTCGGTGGACCACAGGTTGAAAACCAATGTACTAGAAGTAGTCCTGCCAGAAATCTCTCCACACAACTAATGTTTAAGATTTCCAGCTCTTTCACTGACCAAGGGTAACAATTTTAAGTCACAAATACAAAATTAATAAAAATTCATTTTGGAACAGATTGAGACTTGGGCTAGGTGCATGCACAGAGGAGTAAGAACCCATCTTACATTGTTAAGTGGGTTACCCTGCACTTGGGTCCAGGCACACAGGATTAAGCTATGCTCTTGCTTACTCCATCCCTCCCTGCTAGGCAGGGAGGGATAGAGGAATGGTCAGAGCCTGGGCTTCCTCCCACTTCTCCCTGGCCTGTACAGATATCTATCTAAGGTTCTTATATGATCTCCATCACCATAGTACCAGAGCACCTCAGAATCTTTAATATATTTATCCTCACAACACCCCAGGAGGTAAGGTAATGAAACATTAACATCCCCATTTTACAGGTGGGAAACCAAAGCTCAGAGAGATCAAGTGACTTACCCAAGGTCACGCAGGAAGTCTGTGGTGGACTTGACCCCTGGTCTCCCCACTTGTCAGCTAGTGTCCTAACCACTGGACCATCCTTTCTCTCTGTTTAGCCAGTGAGGCCCTGATCCTGCAATCAGTTCCATACGGGCAGAGCCCAAACCCTGCGCTGAGTCCTGTTGAGTTCAGTGAGGCTCCATGGAAGCACACAGGTCCACATACACAGAACGGTTTGCAAGACCGAGACTTTAGTCCCCGATCTCACAAAAACTTAGCCATGTGGTTTACTTTATGCCCTATGAGCAGTTCCACTGAATAGTCAATGGGATCAGGGCCAGAGTTTGTTTCCTCTGTTGGGTGTGTGGGTCACAGAAACAGGGGAAAGAAAGTCATCCAAAATAATAGGAAAATGTGAGTATAAAGCCACAGTAATAGACTGGGGCACTGAGGTGCAGGTACAGTACCTCAAACTACTTTTAACTACTTTTTTTAGACTGCCTAGTTTTTAAAGTTACTGGTGTCCCTTTGAGCTCTTCCTTGCCTATTAGTTGAGAATTGTCCTAAATACTAAGACTGAGTACATCCTCAATGCTCCCAGTCTCTACTGATTCAAAGCTGACACACTCAAATCTCTTACAGATCTCTGGTCTTGCTCCTGGCCCGGTTCCCCCATAGGAACAGAATACAAAGTATAATCACCTTTATTTCTTGATATTAAAAAAATATTCTTGGTCTATTCTTAACTAATACTGTGATTTCATTGTGCATTATTACTCTATTTCTGCTGACCTTTGAAAAAGCAGAAATAGATTTATTTCCATGTGCTGTTAAGTTCAAACTGGGGAATCAACTGCTTTTATACTGCTTATCTGAGAGTTAATAAGAGACTTGCATTTATACGTTCCAATTTACAACTGCAGCTTTCTGTGAAGATAAGAATTTGTATTCTGCAGCTGTGGCTGCAATGGCCTCTGTTTTTTGTTGTATTGTATCCAGTTCTTAACATGTCAGGTAAGAAATCTAACCAGGAGAAAGGAACAGAAACAATGTTAGCAGGTAAAAACACAAGCTCTTCATGTTAATAAGAGCATCTCAACTAACTTATCCCCTTAAACTTTACACCTTCTAGTCTCTGGGTCCTAATCTCATTTATTTACTCTTAGTTCCTACATGACTGGAGGAGTCAGGATTTTGCCCTTTCGGCATCTTAAATAAACATCAGCATGAGGATGCATAGAAGGGTTTTGTTAAAGGTGTATTTTATTACAGTTCTGTATATGGACTTGAGAGTCAACTCCACTTTACAGATAATGAGATCTTGACCTAAACACAAATGCACAATTTAAACAAGCCCTTACTCAGCCCAGAGCACAAACAACGTCCTCAGTTGATGCTATGCCAAAAATTGCAACTACCTAAAGGCTGCATTAAAAACAAGAAACAAGAAACAAGAAACAAGAAACAAGAAACAAGAAACAAGAAACAAGAAACAAGAAACAAGAAACAAGAAACAAGAAACAAGAAACAAGAAACAAGAAACAAGAAACAAGAAACAAGAAACAAGAAACAAGAAACACACAAAAATTGGGGGAAATGAAACAGGGAAACTTCTTTGGAGCAGCAACAATAGGAATAAAGGCATCTCTTCACTTTTCTGTGACCCCTACGGAAGAGATGTGTCTACAGCCAGGTCCACACTACAAAGTGTTCTCAGAATGGCTAGGTCAGTCATTGGTGTGGAACAAACTACACCCAATAGCCAACACAGCTATGCTAGCAAAATCCCCAGCATAGACACAATTATGCCAGCAGAAGAATGCTTCTGTCGGCATAGCTAATGTCATTCAGAGAGATAGCATTACTGTACAGAATAACTTCTTCTGTCAGCATAAACTGCATCTACACTAGGGGGCTCCGCTGGCATAACTGTATCAGTATAGCTTTATCGTCAAAGCCCATGTCATGCAGACAAGGCCTACATGTCTCTGTTCCTAAAAGCCAAATCCTGAACCCTCTCCCATACCCACAGCATTGAGGACTCTAAACACAGTGGAATGTTGAATAGTCAGTATAATACATACATAACCTATAGATCACACTACAATCACATATAGCTTCTTCTGCAGAAACAAATGTCTTATGCTGATGTAAACAGCACGAATCAGAGGAAGAATCCCTGCAGTGACAGATTGTGTTGGCAGTTTCCAAAGAGAGCAGAGCATGGAGAAGACAGCAAAAGCTGGCAGTGCCACAAAGCACATGCCTTTAATAAAGGACTAATTTTGTAATATACAGATGCTCCTAATTCAGAAAAGAGTATTGCAATGCACTCTACGTGGAGTGACACCTTAAAACAATGCAAAAACTGAACCTGGTGCTGAATATGGCAGCTCATTTGTTAAGCAGGGCATCTGGCTGGGAGCACATGACACCAGTGCTCTGGGGTCTGCTAGCTGCCTATTGGTCTCCAGGTGTAGTTCAAGGTGTTGGCCTTCAACTATAGAGCTCTAAATGGCCTGGAACCAGTCCACATGAGGGATTACCTCTCTCCCTGTGCCATACTGGCATAGCTATGGTCAGCAGGGACACTCAAGCTGGATCCACCTCATTATTAAAGAGAAGGAGCTGCTTGTCAAGACTGTGGATCTTGCTCCCCATTTGAAACAAAGCAGTCTGGAGTTGAAACCTTCTAGGCACAATGCAAAAACCATTTGTTTGACAGGTTCTGGGGGAAGGCTGAAAACATGTTCATGGCAGGGTAAAAGGAGGTGTAAGGGGCTCTTCTGTTCCTTTAATTTATGGGCTGGCTAAATTAATCTGATACCTGTGTACAAGTATTTCATGATGCTGGGTGCTCAGCACTGTGTTACTCTAAGTATTATGACACCTGCAGCTTTTGTCTGAGCATTTACTGTCATTTAAATCTGAAGAAATAATAAAGCACTCCTTGCAGAAGGTGAGCATGAGGCCTATGGACCACGTAAGCCCTTGGCACAGAGTGATTTCACCCAAAGGCAATATTAACTTGACTCTATCAATCTTTGAGAGCAGTGTATTAAATATGAAGTGCGGACAAGAGTATGAGGACCACTATGCAATGAGGGTGTGGCCACGAATAGGTCAGGCCCAACCTTTAGGATCTGCATTTTTTAAAGAGGGGTGAAAAGCCCTAATATTAACAGAAATGTTTTCAGATTTTTAAATACTTTGTTCTTAGCTGGTAATTCAGGCAGCCTCCTCATGTCATGGCACAATGGCTTAGCAGCAGCCCCTGTGGCTGTCACACAGACATGAAGCTCCTATTATTTTCATGTGACTTTGTTCCTACTGTTAACAAGGAAAAGGCTAATTTATGTTCAGCAATATCCCTACCTACATGCCAAACCATGTTACATGATTAAATGTGTTAAAAAAACTAAATTAGTCAGTCAATCTAAAAAAAATTGTTACAAGTAGCTTGAATTACTACATCAGCACCTGAATGCCCCAGTCTATTACTGTGGCTTTACGTTCACATATTCCTATTATCAAAGATGATTCTCTCTCCCATTACTGGGTGAAATTTCTGCACAAACAACAGAGAAAACTAACTATGGCCCCAATCCCACAAAGATTTATGCACATGCTTAACGTTCTGCTTTTCGAATTGCTCCCATTGACTTCAATGGAATTGGTCATAGGACACAAAATAAACCAAGTGTCTTAAGTTTTTGCAAGATTGGGGTCTGAGGCCTCAATCTTGCAAACAGCTCTGTGTGTATACACCCACGTGCCTGCACAAAGCCTCTCTGAACCCAACAAGGCTCCATGCAGGCACTGGGGTTTGCTCATGTACAACAGACTGCAGGTTCAGGGCCCACCTGACTAAGAGAGGAAGGATGGTCCAGTGGTTAAGGTACTAGCCAACAAGTTGAGAGACCTGAGGTCAGGTCTCTGATCTATCACAGACTTCTTGTGTGACTTTGGGCAAGTCACTTAGCTTCACTTGGTCTCAGTGCTCCATCTGTAAAATGGCGATAACACTTCTCTACCACACAGGGGCGTTGTGAGGATAAATACATTTCAGCTTGTTAGGTGCTCAGATACTACGGTTATGGGGGCCATATAAGAGCCTAAGATAGACAGAACAATGTAAACAATGAGGAAAAATACACATTTTTTTCTTTTCTCTGTCTCAGCTAAAATAATATTTGGCTTTACTTGTAATAGCAGTAGAAAATTTTCAAAAAGAAGTGTGATTTTTAAATTAACAGTGTTTCTTTAAACATTTATGCTGCAAAAATTATTACCCAGCAAGCTAGACTGAAAACCAGTGTAGGGTGACCCGGATGCTCAAATATAAATTCAGTAAATTCATTAACAGAATTATACGATGAGGCTGCCTGCAATCGCGAGGGACTGGACTTAATGTCCCTTCCAGTCCCACATCCTAAGAAAAGCCATTATGCAAACAATCAAATGACAAGCAAAAGGAAAAGCGCAGCTGGGGGTGCACAGGGAGGCCAATGCTTTTTAGAATAAACATTGACACCAGAGATTAAGTGATTCTGCTGCTAATACGTACCAAAGGACAGCAATCAAGAGAAAAACTATAATACGAATTTCTAGATCATGTCACATCGCATCAGGTAAGCCATTTTTCCTCTTGAGGGATGGAAAAACTCAGGAGATCAAATTAATTTTTTTTTACACTATTGATTGAGCTTGCAATTCTAAATCAGTATCCAGGACTGGCAAATATCTCCTTTTGCAAATGTTTTATGTATTCCATGCCTGCCACTGAAAATGAAATTGGAGAGGCAGGGCATGGAGAGGAAAGTGTGCTAGTAAAGGACCAATTTTAACTTATTTATTTTGATTAAAAACATTGGGCCAGAATTCCTTCCCTCCCACTGTGAAACCTGTGGGAAGAGCTGAAGGGAAGGAATCCTCCTGTCACATTGGAGGATGCACATTTCTATGTATTTTTACGGATAGAAAAGATGCTTTACATCATTTTAGAGTTTTTTTAATATAGTGTATTTATACTTATTAGTTTCTCTCCCTCTGAGTTCTGTGTTCTTGGACTCAAAGTATTAAAGGTACCTGGCTTTACAGAGGGAGGGAGGCAAATAATAGGCTCTATAAAAATCTGAGTTACTCTTTAAAACACCTCTAAAATAATACTCAGCTGAGGAAAGGGAACACATCTTACAACACACAATAATTCACAGAATATAGCAATCCAGTGATCAGCAACTTTTGGCACGCAGCCCACCAGGGTAAGCCCCCTGACAGGCCGGACCAGTGTGTTTACCTGCCGTGTCCGCAGGTTCAGCCGATCACAGCTCCCACTGGCCGCGGTTCGCCACTTCAGGCCAATGGGAGCTGCAGGAAGCGGCACAGGCCGAGGGATGTGCTGGCCACCGCTTCCAGCAGTCCCCATTGGCCTGGAGTGGCAAACCGCGGCCAGTGGGAGCTGCAATTGGCCAAACCTGCGGACACGGCAGGTAAACAAACCGGCCCAGCTTGCCATGGGGCTTACCCTGGTGGGCCGTGTGCCAAAGGTTGCTGATCCCTGTAGTAATCTGTGGCAAGTGTTCTGCCTAGGAGCAGAACATTCTTTAATACAGTAATCATAAAAGTTGGTCACAATCCACTTGAAGAAGACTTCCACTGAATTGCTAGGGATATGAACTTACATGAAGCTTACAAACAAAAATGATCAGTAATATTCATTGACCTTACCTTTTTAAGTCCCCAAAACAGAGCATCTTTTTCCAGTTCAAATTCTCTTTCAAGTTCCTCTTCATATTCTGCCAAGAATAATACCCCCATTAATAACAGCTCACCAACAAAAATAAAAAGTGAATGGGCCTGCAGTGCTCGTTTTTAAACAGTATGAAATTCTTTGTATCTACCTGAAAAACATACACACAGCAAGTGGGAATAGAGGTTCTTTATGCAGGAAGAAATCAAGAAGGTTAAGGAGGGCAGAATCCACCCCCAATCTTTAGGTCTGAACAAAATTGTCACTACTGTAGTCCCTGGTCTTTGATCCTTGCACACCCCCAATTTCTGGCTGACGTATGCATACAATCATGGACCACTGATGCTATCTCTGTCCCAACCCTGCATTTGATCCATGCAGGGCTGGCATGCAGAGTAACCCAACTCCACCATACATTCAGCATGCTGTGAATTTCCATGTACTGACTGCAGCCACCCAATCCTCACACAGCGGAGCACACTGTTCTGCTGAGTTGGAAGTCTTCCACAGCCTTTCATCCTTAATGCATGTTTTATTCTATTTCTAAAGAAAACAAAGCATGAAAACACATTGGTTCATGGTCTGTTTCAGTGCAGACAATCACTTCCATGACCAAAATCTAAGCACCAGTGTGATACTATGCTGACCAGTGTAGAAAAAGATGAGAGTAGGCAGGGGAAGGATTTTTTGTCTTATATAAACAAACTATCACCACAATTGATTATTTAAGATTAAATACATATACATACACACACACATACACATATCCCTCCCTAAACACTATTTAAAGTATGAACTATTCAGTCATTGGTCACAAATACCATCAGAGACCTCGTTAAAAAAAAAAAAAAAAGGTGAAGGGACATATATTCTGCAAAAAGCAGATATAACACATGAAATATCTAGCAGGTTCAGTTGAACTATTCCCACAAGTGCATCCCAATCAAACTAACTGTCCTCAAAGCCCACTTCAGATTCTGGCTGGTGAGAGGCTGCCTCAGAAATTCAAGTGTTTAAATATGCTTAGTTGAGAAAAAGCTTGAAGTGAAAGGCTAAATCCCTGATGAATCACACCTCTGCTTTTCTGTGAAACTTCAATATCTGTCTAAAGTTCAAGTTTCTGCCTCTGACTTTGTGACACACAAGATAAATTGGGGCGTGAGGGGGAGATGTAGTCTTTTCTTATCTAGGAAAATTTCCCTCTTAACTCTATGTATCAGGGGGGTAGCCATGTTAGTCTGTATCTACAAAAACAACCAGGAGTCCGGTGGCATCTTAAAGACTAACAGATATTTGAACATAAGCTTTTGTGGGTAAAAACCTCACTTCTTCAGGTGCAACTCTAAGGCCCTCCTAATCCAGTACTACTGGGTACAGAACACCTATGAAGATACTTTCACAGGTTGTACTGGAATGGGAGCAAGCTTCTGCAGAAGCAACATTGGAAATGTGCTGTTCCAGAGGTATACACAAAACCTGTCTTCCTATAACGATAATGCTTAGTATTTAGACATCACTTTATACGTTCAAAGCACTGCATAGTCATTAAGGTCTTAATTAATCAGTTCTTGCAACAACCCCCTTATTTACAAATAGGAAGACAGACAGAAAAGTGACAGAACCTCAAAGCTACAGACCAAGTAAGTGAAAGAAGCAGGATTAGAAGCCACTCTAGTGAAACACATCAGCTTCCATTTGTTAAATCAATTTAATTAACTGACGAGACCTACAGTGTTGACAGCATTCTCTTCAAACAGCTTCCCTATGATCTTCAGTGGTTTCTATTTCACCTTTTAATTACATCATATTCAGACTCCTAGAGAAACCATGACGGAATAGATTATCTTTTTCCAAAACTGCAATTATGGTCAAAAGTTACACTGCCCACTACTTGGCCATTAACTGTGCACACAGCTGGCCTGTGTAACTGTGTGATCTTCTCATTGCTATCCTCCTTCTGCCCCCTATTGTTTGTTGCATCTACTTGTTGCATCTTGTCTTAATTTATACCCTGATCCTGCCAACTGCTCCAAGCAGGTGAACTCTTGTGCCTTTACAGAGCCTCTAGCCAATAAAGCTTTGTGTGCAGGCAGGGGTCCACTCACACAGAACAGCTTGCAGGGCAAGGGCATTAGACCGTGAGTTGTTCAGAGCAGGGATCTCATCTTCCTGTGTGTTTCACAATCGGGTGCTGATGCTGATTGGGGCTCTGGGTGCTACCATAATAGAAATAATAAATTAGAATAATAATTAAACAGAAAGTAAAGATTAACTGGTACCATAGCAATTCACAAAGCAAGTCCTGGTCTACCTGAAGTTAATAAAGAGGCAACAAAAACACTCAACATAATGTTAGCAAACGAGAGAAAACAGCATGGTTTTATTTTAACCTCCAAGACCAGAAAAGCTGTCCATGGGGCACATTCTGAACGCAATAGCAAAGGATTTAATTAAGTCTTGGCTAGTTTTCACTATCTTTCCATACAAAAGATTTTGGTGCTAGGAATTATCATCAAAAATGAAATTCTAATGCTATGATATAGGTTGGGTTTATTTTACTAATTATAAAATGTAAAGCATATACTGGTCTTCATTTCCAGTTTTTTTAAGCCTGTTTGATATCTCCCTCTAGTGGGAAAAATAAGACACGAGACTTTTATATGACACTGCAATAAAAATAACAATGATCTTGTAAGCCTTTTCAGAGAATATCATGAAGAATCAGTTTTTTTAAAGTGCTTCAGTTTACCATCTTGACCTACCAACTTACCATCAGCTAGATCCTGCACACTCTTACACACAAGCTTCACCTTACTCATGTGAGTAGTCCCACTGATATCAGTGGAACTACTCTGATGAACAACATTAAGCTCAGGAGTAAATTCACAAGATTGAGGCCTTACTTAGCATAAAATGCATGACTAATTAAAATGCAGTATCATTCAAGATTTATTTCTCTATAGCTATTTCCTCTAACCAGGAGTTACTTTTTAACCATTTAACTGTAAATTTGTTTACATTAAAATACCCAAAATATAGGAGCCAAATCATATTTATTATTTCTAAATGTTAAAACTGTACCCATCACTTGTCTCTGAGTGCACATACAGCTCTAGGTAATAGAAAGGCAACATAAAGATAGCTAAAAAATAAATTTCCCTCATAATATATGAGAATATAAGTACATCTTTCTCAAGTGCTCATATAAAAGCTTTCATGGGCAGACACTGAAAGTTAACAGAAGACATTAATTACTGGGTTCACTGTCGTCTGCTGAAAAAACCCACTCACCCTTCCCAAGGTATTTAAACCTTAAGGATTCTTTAGTTTCACTAACATAAAGAAGCAGAAGCAGGAGTAAGGAAACTGACCATCCACTCTCCTATCTACCAGGGAGGTTGGGGCTCCAGGAGTTTTTATATTAAAATCCTTCTTGTTCTAGTTTCATGAAGTGGTTTTCAAAACTGATTAGAGAAGAAAAATGACTAAAAATGAGACCACTGCTCATTACGGTCAGTTGGTGATTTCCCCTGCACACAACGGAATTTAAAGCATTATTCCGCTCTCACATAAAATAGTTTCAATTTTAAATTGAAAAAAACAAGTATACCAATGAACAAAAAGAAATCACACACCTCATGCATCAAGGGGTTGATGAAGCAAATGGATAACAGGGTTTCCTAAATACAAAAATCCCTGTGAAAAAACAGTAATAGCAGCAATATTGCAACCTGTCAAATCTATTTCGTTAGTTCCAGCAATTCATAGAGAAACCTCAGCTCACTCTTCCTGCAACTGGATACATTGTGGAAGACCTGAAAAATGTTTCCTTGTTCAGAAGCAAGTAGGTGAGTACAGCTGTGAATGAGTATTATTCCAAGGGTAGAGCATGTCAGATGACACATTCCTGAACGTCAAACCCAGCAAGACCAATAACAAACTTATGTGCAATGGAACATTTTTATGCCAGTTCAAACTGCGAGTCTCACAAAGTCCACTGAATTTTTGCAGCAGCTCAGTTAACGATAATAGTAAAGGGAGCAGGTGGTTTAACATCGGCCACTATGTCCTTTAAATGCCTTCCTTATCCCTTTCACAGGTCAGAGGTCATCTGAGGAGCTTTTGCCTTCAACCAGTCTCTCCTGGAGCTGAGGACTGGAGGTCTCTCTGGTTTGCCACCAATTGTACTATGCTCTCACCTTTTAAGTGCCTCTCTCATCTTTCAGCGTTATGGCAGGGTGGAGCTGACTGAGCTACCACTAGCTTGTTAGCCTTGATTTGCTCAGAATGTGATTTGTATACCCCCATCACAATGGGAAATAGGGACAGTTGAGTTTGCAGGAACAACAGTGAATGAAGAATTAATTATAGACAAAAGGCCTCAATCTGCAAAGATAACGATCCTGCAAAGACTTAAGTACATGGTCAATTTTACACACTATGAGTAGTCCCACTGACTTCAGTTGAACTATTCCAATGGAACGACTCACAATGTGCAAAGTTAAGCACATTCTTAAATGTTTTCCTGGACTGGGGTACAGACAGGAATGTATGAAAGACATTGGCATTGATTTTACAATACACTGTGCAAAATTTCAGGCTAATAGTAAAGATATAAGGAAGGAGATGACAATGAAACTACAGAAGAAATAGAAGCATTCCTGAAATATTCTATTCTGGCATTTTGAGAGGGAGAAAGTCCTGCAGCTGCAGTATTTATTGTATTGTAGGAAAAAAAGGATCATTAAAAAGTCCTACGCAAAAGTTGTTTCAGGCTATTATATACAGCAACATTTGTGGCATGTGTCCAGCGTTACATGATTGATGTCTCTCAACTCCAGCACAGAAGCTGTTATAGCAATTCCTTTTGGTCTACCTAACTCACAGATCTATATGGGCTAGCTGTCAATTACGTACTCCTTCCCAGGCATGGAACAGTTTGCCCCTCAGGTATGAAGCACTGACAGGAGAACACCGTTAATCTGAGGGATTACTCTAAAAGCAGGACATTTTATGAGAGAAAAATATAATCCCCTTTCCTCTCTAATTCTGCAATTTTTGAATTAGATTGGGCAACTCTCACTAGGGAGCATTTACTCACATGACCTCAACAGGCTTCCGATCAGGTCCAATGAGCACAAGTGTTTACAAAACTGAGGACTGAGTGACTTGCCCAAAGCCACAGGAATAAAGTGTCAGAGAGTAGAACTCAAAAGCTCCTGGATTTTAGTCCTGCGCCCAGACCATTCCTGACTCTCCAATTTTAATATGGGTCCTGATCTTGCAAACACTTGTGCATGTGCTAAGCTTTAAGCACATTTACAAACCCATTGATTTTAACGAGACTACTCACAGGCTTAAAGTTAAACACTTGTGTAAGTATGCAGAAGATCAGGGCCTTATGTCTCAGATGAAATACACTACAAAATTATAAAGAAAAAACATATATTTATTCCCATACATAGACTATTTATAATTTAATCTATTAAAGACAATATATATATTAATGGCAAGTGTCAAGATACCCCTTTCCAACTGTCCTCCAAATACCATAAACACCAGCTCTGAATAAGCTTTGACAAAAGACTCCTTGCACAGCTTGCCCCTCCTGCTATTTATTTGTATACTGTTGGTTCTCAGCTAGAGAGAGGATATAGGTACCTTCAGTTCAAAAGTCTCAGACGGAAACGCTGCTGGAGCCTGCCTGGAAAATAAACTAATGCATTAAATAAAGCTAGCCAATAACTGATTTGCATGAACCTCAAAGGCAAGAAGCAATACAAAAAAATGAAACGGCAACCTTACAGACTTACCTCTGGAGACTTTGTATACCTCACAGAAGGAATAAAAATGGAAGCCCAATGAAAGAAGCAGGTAAAGAAACATTTCCCATAGTGGCAGCATTACTACTTGCAACGTAAGTTTCTCTGGTCTCCAGATGATGTCCTTGTTGTTAACTTCTAGAAAACAGTAAGCAAAATTATACAAGTAGCTCAGTATGGTGTGTATTTAATAGCAACAACCAGGGACATAATGCAACAAAGACATATATATTTTTGGTGACCAAGTGACATATTCTGCAGTTTTCTGAATCCTTGCGTCGTTTTATATTCAGTGTGAGAAAATGGCAGAGCACACCCACCAACCCAAAATGTCAGTTTGGAAATCCTTTCTTCCGATCAAGTCCTCACTCACATGCTACATGTTGGGAGTGGATGAGCCTTTCCAGAGCAACTATTCTTGGGCTTCAAGCTGAAACTTACAAAGCCTCTCAGTGTTCTGGCCACTTGCTTTCAAAGTAACAACATAACTAACAAAGTTTATTTTTAATGACAGGTTTCAGAGGAACAGCCATGTTAGTCTGTATTCGCAAAAAGAAAAGGAGTACTTGTGGCACCTTAGAGACTAACCAATTTATTTGAGCATGAGCTTTCGTGAGCTACAGCTCACTTCATCAGATGCAAGCTCATGCTCAAATAAATTGGTTAGTCTCTAAGGTGCCACAAGTACTCCTTTTCTTTTTATTTTTAATGCTGACTTTTTTTTTTTTTTGCTTTTCAAAAGGATTAATGTGGGAAGTAACTATCAGTCATTGCCTTTCTATACAAAACAGGCCAAGGTATGGTATTTTAACGTACAACATAAAAAATAAAATATTTAAATCTTACTTTCAATTCAATCAAATACAGGAATCCATCAACTAAATTCCATACCAAAAGTATGCCATATAAAACAAGAACAGATTTGAGTGATAAGGGTAATCATGATACTTTTAGGACCCTGAAGTTTAAAAAAATCCATACATACATAGGAAGACCTATGCCATGATCGGGGCTTCACCCACACATATGATCTTGCAGGATCAGGGGGTTCCGAATTCTTTAAGAGAGAGCATATGTTCACTATTAAATACTCCCAGCACAAAGCTTTAAAATGTATTGTATAGTAACAGCACTTCAAAACAGCTCTATGTAAAATCAGATCATAGCACAGTGCCCTGCTGTATAATGGGTATATTGTTTCTACTACATTCTGAGGTGGAATTTAATAAGGGGCATTTTCTCTTTTCAAGGGCCAAATAGAATAAAAGCATATCTAACATCTGTGTTGCAACAGCCTTCAGACAGAATAATAAGGTTTTTGCACTGTGGATGCTGAACCTACCTTTTATTGTATCCCACCTATATTTATCGATTACATAGTTAGCGGTACCTTTTTCAAACTTTTTGATGTTTCAAAATTCAGAATAGTTTTCATGCTGCTAAGGCACACTCAGCTGAAAACACTGGACTATCATAAATCCAGTCTGATATACTGTGATCTGAAGTACCTATAAAATAATTATCAATCCCTCTTGGGATTTTTTTGGGTACAGTTCTCTTACTGTTTTCTGAGCTAAGACTGCTACATTTGACATTTTTTGCTTTTAAATATTTCTTAAAGTCATAAAGTCTCATTCTATTCTCTAAAGAAGCGCTCAAACTTTTTCATCTTCCTCCCAACTGCTTGATTCTCAGAGTGTTTCATTCTGTAGACACCAAGAAGAACACTACAGGCCTGCGATTCTTAGACATTGGAGGGCTGAAGGCTTAATCCAAAGCTCACTGAAGTCAATGGCAATATTCTAATTGATGTTAAACCTAGTCCTGAAAGAGAACCTCATTCAGATTACTACAACTGATCATTTGAAGAATCACTTTAACTCAATATTTAGATCAATTGCTTTTTGAAGTTCTTCCAGAGCAAATCCCAACAGATCAGACTACTCAAATCAATGCCCAGTTTGTTGTTCACACCCCCTTTGTAATGATGCTTTTTAGTAAACCCTTGCTGAAACAGTATGTGTAGTCTTCTCAGTATCGAGTGAGAGTCCTAGGCTTCAGTAAGCTTATGCAAGAAAATCCAGTATGGACTGAAGGTCATTCTCAGCGTGCATGAAGATAACACAATCATCAGCACACGGAAGACCAGTAATGGACGCCCTGAAGACTTTAGATTTTGAGCGGAGACATCAAAGATTAAAGAGCTGCCCATCCATTCTGTATTGAATGTCAACTCCACTGGGGAGGTGATCTTTAACAAGGACCAAAATGACTGATAACTAGATGGAAAACTGGGCCGGGGCCATAACATATCCTTGCTTAACCCCAGTTTTGATGATGAAAGGTTCCGTCTCAAGGCCATTACAGAAAACCATGGCAGTCATCTGATCATGGAGAAGCTTTAGGACCTTAATAAATTTTGGAGGGCAACCAAATCTGGTTAGTACCTTCCACAGGGCTTTGCAATTGACATAGTCAGTGGCTTTTGTCAAATCGATGAAAAGCCATGTACAGGTCCTGATTTTGCTCCCGAGACTTTTCCTGGATTCAGCAGGCAGTGTTGTATCGATTGTCCCATGGGATGGTCTAAAACCACACTGAGATTCCAGCAATATTTTCTCAGCAAGGGGAAGTAATTGGTTTAAGAGGATACGGACAAGAATTTCCCCCACTGTAGATAGCAAGGCAATGCCTCATTAGTTTCCACACTCTAATTTATCTCCTTTCTTAACGATTGTAACAGCGTTAGCCTCTCTCAAGTCTTCTGGAATCTTCTCATTATACCAGATATGAAGAAAAAGTTTGTGGAGCTTCCCTACCAGTTCTTCACCTCCAAACTTGTAGACTTCAGCTGGTATGCCATCTGGCTCTGCTGCCTTGTTGTGCTTAGTTTGCATAATGGTGCGTGTTCAAATGGAAGGAGCATTTTGAGTTACTCCTAAACTGTGAGTCAACTGTCTCTGATGCCACTATCGAATCTATACCTCAACAACATGAAACAGAATCTCTTGCTGACCCCCTGATCCTCAAAGAACACTAGCCGTTCAAATCAGGCACATGATAAGCCTTTGCAGGACTGGGGCCTTAATTTGTTACAACTTTAAAAGCTATTCTCTTTTGGTTTAAAACAAAACTCTGGATACAAAGAAGGGCTAACACAAGCAAAAAGTAAGTTGCGAAGACTCCACAAACTTTTGGTAAATAATCTGAAGACCAAGCATGATTCACTGCAGAACGCCTCAAATAATTTTGAATAATGAATAAATCTGAGAAATTTTCAGTCTGTTCAAAAACAATTTGAGAGGGAGGCAAAATTCATTACAATTTTACTTTGTGAATTATTTGTTCAACTTGATTTATAGCACCTTGAATGATCAATCAATGAATTAATTGCTTTGAATTCAGTGTTTAGCAGCAACAGACTCCCAGCAATACTTTTTGAAAGCAGAGTCCATACAGGACCTGATCCAAAGCCCACTGAAATCAACGGAATGACCCCGTTCACTTCCATGAGCTCTAGATCAGCACCTTGGTTCATCGGCTATGTTCCAAAGGCAAAAATAGAGAAATAAAAATTCCATTACCCTGGTGAGGAGCAAAGTGGAAAATCCCAAATCAACACAGATCTTACAGTCAAAGGATCTGCATGAATCAGGGATAAAAGTCATACCAGGCACAATGAGTTTAGCAGTAGTCAGAGAGGAAGATGAACTCCACCAGAGGAAGGAACAACAGTTTAATGTTTCAAGCTTTTCCCCAAAATGTATCTGCAGAGATTCCCCTTCTGTCGGGCACTGCAGCACCTAGGTGCACTCAACTAGATAAAGCCAACCCTATTCATTGGCGCTATTGCTTTGTACCTGTGCACAACTAGCAAATCTCGCTCTTTCGAGATTCATGCAGCTCCCTCTTGTGATTAACATGAAAGCAGTTTCCTAAAGGCCTTCCTCCTGCTCCTTATGGGATCCCGCCCTTCGGCTCTGTGTATTTCAGTGGGGCAATGTAGGAAATCCCCCTCCTCCTTATTTTCTCTCTCCCTCTCCAGAGGGACAGTTTGAGAGCAGGGGCCGCAGCTCTTGCCCAGGCAACACTGGGGGAACCATTCACGGGGGGGCAAAGGTGCAGGCTGCGATCAGACCTTTGTTCCTCTTCTGGATCCAGCCCCCCACTGCCCTTTCCAGGCACTGACGCGTCCCCCGGGCTCGCCCCGCAATGCGCTCCCCGGCTGGGACACGCCTTATCCGCTGCCCACCCGCCTCGAGGGGCCGCGGAGCTGCAGCCACCCCTGCCCGAGCGGCTCCGCGCCTGGCAAGCCCGCCCCCCGCCACCTCCTTCCCCCCGGCCCGGCGGCGGCGGGGCGGAACAAAGGCGGCACCGACCTTAGAAAGCCCGCGCTCCCCGGCTCCCTGCACGGAGCCAGCCACGCCCCCGCGCTTCCGGCCGGGGCCAGCGCCGCCCTCCCCGGCCCGATCCCGCCCCCGGGGCAGGCGCTCCGCCTCCGGCTCCCGGCGGGCCCGGCCGCGCTGTGAGGCGGTGTGACTGGAGCGGGTCGCCCAGGGCCTGAATGCCCAGTGCGTGTAATTGATGCCCAGAGAAGGCGGGGGGCGGGAGGAGTCCGCTCCTCCGCCCCTCGCCAAGCCAAGCCAGTCCTTCCTCCGGGCAGCGCTAGCAAAAGGACCAGGAGCGCCTCCCTCTCCAGGGCGGCCCAGGCCACCATGTCCCCTGTGTTCAGCCCGGGCGGGCACCGTGGCCCCTCCCCCACGCGCTGAAAGCCCCAGCCAGGCCCCAAACAACCCCCTTGGCTTTTTAAAAAAATAATAGAGGTTGGGTTCTTTTTCTTGACCCTCTGGGTTTTGGAGCCTTCAGGGGGCACGTTTCCAAGCTTTTCCTTGCAGCCATGAGGTCTAGAAAGCTTTTCCATAAATGAGAGCCAACAGGCAAGTGGCTGCTGAGTCACATGAGTCCTGGAGCTGGAGATTTAAGAAAACAACAAATATCACAAGACTTGCAATAAAAGGAGCTGATAATAGTGGGGCTTGACTAGCATTGCTTTCTTTGTCTCTGGCTCTAGATAGAGGGTAAAATCCTAGCTCCATTGAAGCCAATGGGAGTTTTGCCTTCAAACGGCCAGGGTGTCACCCTAAGGCCCCACACAAACTGGGAGAAACATGCTCTCTTTTCAGCAGGGAAAATGCAGAGAGTGCATCCTCCCTGCACCACTCTCTTTCTGGCTTTCTGTTCATTTCCAACTCCTCATCTTTAAAGCCCTCAGTGGTCCTGTACCTGGGCTATACCCAGGCCAGGCAGCTATGCTCAGAGCAAGCTGAAGTTGAAGGCAGGGCATTCTCAACAGAGAGTTCTTTACTGCTAATTCCTAATGGACTAGATCAGGGTAAGCCTACCTACCCTGCCCATTTTCAGAGTTCAGTGTGAAAACCAGCTTTTTTGCAGAAGCCTTCCCACATTATTAGAAGCTATAGGGAAGGGGGAACACACGGATAGACACACATACACACACACACAAGCGAGCAATATTTCAAGTTTATGCAGATGAGCTCAGGCTAGCAAGAGTGTGTGTGGGGAGGTCACTATGGACTTACCATCTTGCATAGATGTAAGTCCCCTTGTGATTTTAATCAACCATCTTAACTATAGAAATGAACATGTGTCTGACACAATTCTTGGTAAAAAGAGCACACCCCAAAATGGCTCACAATGGAGTCAATGACAGCAGTGTCCATGTAACAGCACCAGAGTTGCATCAGAGTTGGATTTACAGAATATTTCCATGGGGTAGTAAAGGGATTAATGGCCACGAAGGGTCAGCAGAGCCTACAGGTTTCAGACAATACCAAGCTGGAAGGGGTCCCAAGTTCTCTGGAGGATAGGATTAAAATTCAGAATGATCTGGACAAACTGGATAAATGGGCTGAATAGGATGAAATTCAATCAGGAAAAATGCAAAGTACTCCACTTAAGAAGGAACAATCAGTTGCAAACATACAAAATGGGAAATGAGTGCCTAGGAAGGAGTACTGCAGAAAGGAATCTGGTAACCATAGTGGACACAAGCCAACTATGAGTCAACAGTGTAACACTGTTGCAAAAAAAAGCAAACATCATTCTGGGATGTGTTAGCAGGAGTGTGCTAACCAAGCCACAAGAAGTAATTTTTCTGCTCTACTCCATGCTGATTAGGCCTCAACTGGAGTAGTTCAGTTGTCCAGTTCTGGGTGCCACATTTCAGGAAAGATGTGGACAAATTGGAGAAAGTCCAGAGAAGAGCAACAAAAATTATTAAAGATCTAAAAATATGACCTATGAGGGAAGACTGAAAAAACTGGGTTTACTTAGTCTGGAGAAGAGAAGACTCAGAGAGTACATGATAACAGTTTTCAAGTACGTAAAAGGTTATTACAAGGAAGAAGGAGAAAAATTGTTCTCCTTAACCTCTGAGAAAAGGACAAGAAGCAATGGTCTTAAATTACAGCGAGGGCGGTTTAGGTTGGACATTAGGAAAAATCTCCTAACTGTCGGGGTGATTAAGCACTGGAATAAATTGCCTAGGGATGTTGTGGACTCTCCACCATTGGAGATTTTTAAGAGCAGGTTAGGCAAACCCCTATCAGGGATGGTCCAGGTAATACTTAGTCCTGCTGTGAGTGCAGGGGACTGGACTAGATGACCTCTTGCGATCCTGTCCAGTCCTACAATTCCCCCAGTTTTGTGTTTGCATTGCAATAGTATAGTATTGCTGTAGTTAAAGAAAAAGCCCTCTAGATGGCTGTATAATACAAGATGTGTTTCAGAGTAGCAGCCGTGTTAGTCTGTATTCACAAACAGAAAAGGAGTACTTGTGGCACCTTAGAGACTAACCAATTTACTTGAGCATAAGCTTTCGTGAGCTACAGCTCACTTCATACAAGATGTGTCATGCAAAGTATTGTAGCTTAATATTGTTCATGCAGCAAGAGAGCTATAGACAGTGAAATTACATTTAACCTTTTATGAGGGGAAGACTAGAAAATCCATGCATATATATTATAGTGGTGTCAGCCACTATTTTTTATAGATAAAAGCTCACTTGCAAGTTAATTGAGTCAAACTCTGACCAACCCTGACAGTGGTCCCATCTGGAAGATTTTACTGTCTGGACTTCCAAGGTGGAAGAGATTTTTTTTCCTATTTAACCTATTTTGTATAGGGAAAAAAACAACATTCAGGAATCCTAATGCATGAGCTTATTAGACTACCTATTAACTGACTGAAGTGAGATGTTGAACATAAATGGTACTGGAAGAATTTGGTTACTTACGCAATCTTTGCAATTTAAGATGACTCCTTTCCATGAATTACGTGTTCAGATGGTCTGCAAATTAGGAGGGAAATTGGTAAATTAGGAGGGAAAGTGGCTAGAGGGTGGTGGTTGAGAGCCCAGTCACTGTCCCACCTGGACCAATTGTGGTCTGAAGAGCTTTTGAAACCTTGTTCTGTGGTTATACTGGAGGTAGAGTCATCACCATAGCATCTGCTAAATCCCAGTCAGCATAAATGTTCTGGGTGGTTGACAACCTAGTTAAAGCCTGTCTGTTTGCACCTGATGACACAGTTGAGTGTTTCATGCTCTGTGGAAATGTCAAATTTATTTCTGACTAAAACTGCTCTAATCTGGACTGGGGTATGTTTGTGTGATGATGGAAGTAATTCTTTTGGGCATGGGGAGGAAACATCAGAGCTTTTACTGCTTGGAGTCTTGGCTAATCATACCTACAGAGCCTCGAGAGCTGAGGGGCATACAGACTACAAACGGTGGGATAGGTCTATGTCATGCCTAGCTGGTGAAAGGAAACAGAGAGGTGTTTGATCCACTGTCAATGTGTTGGTGAGGGATAGGAAGGTGCCATGCCAGCTTCTTGTAAATAAACTATTGTAATCCTTGTTCATAACCCATCTCATAAGATGGCCAGTCCCCATCACTATCGCTTTGTCTTAAACCTCGTTTTGAGAGAACATTGAGGCAAAACAATTCCATCAATATCTAGAGTTCTCAATTCCTTGGACACAGTCCATTTGGTTTTAGGCATGGGTGTTGTATATAAACCACATTGGATTTGTTGGTTGGCAATCTGATGACAGATAAAGATTAAAGCATCCTCCTGATTCTTTTAGATCTATCAGCTTCCTTTAACACCACTGGCCACAAGGTGCTGTGGTGTGGATCATTAGCAGGGATCTGTGAAGAGGGATAATTCTTCAGTGACTCCACTTCTTTTTGGGAGATCCCAAAAGGTAGCATTGGGCAATTTCTTATCTGCTTTAAGCCCAGCGCCCTTTGTACAACCTGTATATGGCCCTTTAGAGACGGCTATTTAGGAAGTATTGGTTTTGGTACTTTCAAATATGCCTATGACACCAATCTATATTTCCATCTCTTCCTGACCCTGCTACTGTGGTCTAGCAGAATGGGGCATGGATGAGAGCTAACTTGCTGAGACTCAATCCATACAAGACATAGGCTTGGTCTGCACTACAAACTTTTGTTAGTATAGTAATGCCATTCAGGGTTGTGATTTTTAATACATTTTTATATTGGCTAAAGCCATAGTGTAGATTCAGTTATAAGAGTAGAAGAGTTCCCAGTATAGTTTATTTTGTTTGGGGATTGGTATAAGCTCTTCTGGCCAGCATAAGCTTATACTAGGAGTGTTTGCTGGCACAGCTACACTAGAAAACCCTTTCTAGAAAACCTAGAAAACCCTTTCTAGTGTAGACAAGGCATTAGATAATAGTTAAAGAATGGATGAAGCAAGTTTTGTAAGGAGCAGAAGTTGTATCAAATCTCTGATTGGTGGGGATTATCTGCTGTTTGTTTCGATACTTTGGGGTGTTTTTAGATCCCCAGCTATTCCTGAATGTCCAGGTAGTAGAGGTTGCTAGATATGCCTTATATCATATGCCCTTGAGATGAAGAGTCTATGCTTTTCTTTCAGAGGAGGACCTCAGCAAGGTTATTTATATTCTTGTCACTTCAGGGTTAGATTATTGCCCTCTCCATGGGTCTACATGTTCAAAGCATTTGGAAATTGCAGCTAGTACAGCACCCTGCAGTCTGCTTGTTAAGCAGTGTTGCCAGCCAAGAGTACATTACACATGTGCTCTCTAATGATTACTAGTTAACTTACAGGTGAAGTTTAGGGTGTTGGTTTTGCTCTGTAAAGCTTTTGGGTCCTTGTTATTTGTGAGACCAAAACAGTGCAGCAGTTGTGATCCTCAGGGAGACCTGAGCTAACAGC